TTGCTCTGTCACCCAGGCTGGAGTGCAATGGCATGATCTCAGCTTATTGCAACCTCTGCCTCCTAGCTTCAAGTGATTCTCCCGCCTCAGCCTCCCAAGTAGCTGGGATTACAGGCGCCCGACATCAGGCCCAGCTAATTTTTGTATTTTTGTAGAGATGGGGCTTCACCATACTGGCCAGGCTGGTCTTGAACTCCTGGTCTTGAACTCCTGACCTCAGGTGATCCACCCACCTTGGCCTCCCAAAGTACTGGGATTACCGGTATGAACCACCACACCCAGGTGAGAAATCCTTTTAAGACAGGAATCTGATCATGTTATCCCATTTTGCTTAAAACTTTTCCCTGACATCCCTGAGGCCCATGAGGCCTTCTATCCAACCCAGACATTCTTTCAGCTCCTTGAGCGTGCCACAGGCCCCTCCCCATGGGCCCTGCACAGGCATTTTCCTCTACCTTGAAAGCTTTCCTCTCCACTCTGCCTGGTTTACACCAACCTGAGACCCCGCCTAGGCATCCCCCTCAGGAAAGCCCTTCTCACCTCCCTGGCTAGTCTGGGCTCTCCTAGCGCCCTGTCCCTGTGCTTCAGTGCCTTTGTCACAGTTGCAGTTCTGCATCTGTTTGTGTGATAGCCCGATGACTGCCTGTCTCCCCTCCAGGACCCCGTCTGCTCTGGTTCACCATTGTATCCACAGTGCTAGCAGTTTTTGGCACATACAGTCTCTTGGTGAACATTTGTTGAATAAACCAATGCACATGTGAACACATGAGCATGGTAGACAAAACAGCCTTACAGAGTTGTCGGAGGGCCTCCTCATTAAATAAGCACTGATTTGAGGATGATTAGACGGCAGGACATGTGATTATCCTGAAGGACTGAAGACCTGCCATTAGTCATACTGTTTTGTGCAATATACTTATGAAAACAAGCATTCTCTGCATTGATATTTTTGAATATAAAATCTTATTACAAATATAACCAGATGAAAGGCTATGTCTTTCTATTGTTAAACACAACTCTGGTGATTGCGTTTCAGCAAAACAATGTCATCTGTCACGTTAAATAATGTTCATTTGCAGTTTTCTGATTTTGTAACTTTGATTATTTAACTTATATTAGGATTGTATTAAAGTACTTAAACATGAGGACTTATATCTAGATTTATGTTTAAACATATTTAAATAACAATAGAAGACAATAAATCAACACTGGGTGACCAGGAGGATTTTTTTCTTTTAGAAACAAGGTTGATATATCACTCATGTTGAGAACACTGAGGTATTGATGAGGAGTTAGACTACCTGACCTTTCAGATCTCTCCAACCATAATATTCTACAATTCCAATCTTTTTTTTTTTTCCGAGACAGAGTCTCGATCTTGTTGCCCAGGCTGGAGTGCAGTGGTACGATCTTGGCTCACTACAATCTCTGCTTCCCGGGTTCAAATGATTTTTCTGCCTCAGCCCCCTGAGTAGCTGCAATTACAGGCATGCGCCACCTCGTCTGGCTAATTTTTGTATTTTTAGTAGAGACAGGATTTTGCCATGTTGGCCAGGCTACTATCAAACTCCTGACCTCAAGTGATCCACCTGCCTCGGTTTCCCAGAGTGCTGGGATTATAGGCGTGAGCCACTGAGCCTGGACTGATTCCAATCTTATACTGTCAAGAAACTGAGGCATGAAATATGGAGACTCTCTGAAGCTATACAGAAGGAATTCAAGAGAGAATCAAAAGGAACGAGCAAAGTATCCTATACCAGATACCAGATGGGACCAAGAATTATTAACTGACAAAACTTTCCTAAGCAATAATGTTCCTAAAAGCATATTGGATAAAATGAATTATTGACTGGCATCTCAAAAATCTCCAAGGAAGAACTGAAAAACAAAACAAAATGTTTCCCAACATTAAATGAACAAAACATTAGAGAGTTTCTGCTAGTCCAAGTTCAGTTAATATAAAAAGTCAATTATTACCAAAAAAATGGTAAGTACGTAAAGTAATGCATATGCTAATTAGCTTGATTCAGCCTTTCCACAATGTATACATATTTCAAAACATCATGTTGTGGTCGGGCGTGGTGGCTCATGCTTGTAATCCAAGCACCTTGGAGACCAAGGCAGTCGAATCACCTGAAGTTGGGAGTTCAAGACCAGCCTGACCAACATGGTGAAACCCCGTCTTAAAAAAATAAAAAACAAACAAAAAAATCATGTTGTATACCATAAATATATATATGATTTTTTGTTTTTTTGTTTTTGTTTTTTTTTTTGAGACGGAGTTTCGCTCTCGTTACCCAGGCTGGAGGGCAATGGCACGATCTCGGCTCACCGCAACCTCCGCCTCCTGGGTTCAGGCAATTCTCCTGTCTCAGCCTCCTGAGTAGCTGGGATTACAGGCACGCGCCACCATGCCCAGCTAATTTTTTGTATATATATGATTTTTTAAAAGACATTTTTAAATAGAGACAGAGGTCTCACTATGTTGCCCAGGTGGTCTTGAACTGGACTCAAGTTATCCTCCTTGTTCTGGCTTCCCAAAGTGCTGGGATTATAAGCGTGAGCTACCAGGCCTGGCCAAATAGATGCAGTTTTAATCTGTCAATCAAAAAACTCAAATAACTTATACATAACACTTAGTAAGGCTGAATTAATAAAGAAAATCTCCCAGATCTTATGTATTCAATGCCTATTATTAATTTTAAAGTTAGCCAGCTGGGCAGGTGGCTCACGCCTGTAATTCCAGCACTTTGGGAGCCCGAGGTGGGCTGATCACCTGAGGTCAGGAGTTTGAGACCAGCCTGACCAACATGGAGAAAACCTGTCTCGCCGGGCGCGGTGGCTCAAGCCTGTAATCCCAGCACTTTGGGAGGCTGAGGCGGGTGGATCACGAGGTCAAGAGATCGAGACCAACCTGGTCAACATGGTGAAACCCCGTCTCCACTAAAAATACAAAAAATTAGCTGGGCATGGTGGCGCGTGCCTATAATCCCAGCTACTCGAGAGGCTGAGGCAGGAGAATTGCCTGAACCCAGGAGGCGGAGGTTGCGGTGAGCTGAGATTGTGCCATTGCACTCCAGCCTGGGTAACAAGAGCGAAACTCTGTCTCAAAAAAAAAACCTGTCTCAACTAAAAATACAAGATTAGCCGGGCGTGGTGGCACACGCCTGTAATCCCAGCTGCTGAGGCAGGAGAATTGCTTGAACCGGGGAGGCAGAGATTGCAGTGAGCCAAGATCGTGCCCACTGCACTCCAGCTTGGGCAACAAGAGCGAAACTCCATCTCAAAAAAAAAAAGTTAGCTTCAGTAAATGACACTTTCTAGAGCTTAGGCAATTTGGGTCATTTAGCTGTGTCAACCTGAATGTACCTGCTGGTTGGTGAGCAGGTAAACAAAGTGCCAAGCAAAGTGCCAAGTGCTGATTTCTTCCTCTTGTTCCATCATGCTCATGTCACACCCTTGAAGACCAGGCTCAAATCCACTTCCCCCAGAGGATTTTCTGGTCTAATCTCTCCGTCCCACATTTACTTCTGCACTTTGCATAGTCCACATTAAATTATCCTTTGTGTGTCTAAGGTGCTTCATAAATGTCTTGTTTCTTCCATCTAACCCCAGTAAGACAATAGGTTTGTTGTGAGAGGGACTAAGACTTCTTTTTTATTCCCCAAGGCTTAGAACTAGAGCTCAAAAAGTGCTTACCAAACCAACAAAATCAGGGTATTATCATATGGCCCTATTTCATAACTTCTCATCTTTTGTTTTCACATTTAGTGTATTCAAAGACATGATAAAGCAGTGGAAAACCAATAGTTTTTCATCAAGTTAACTACTCTTGAAATGTTCAGGAGAAAAGACGTTTGAATTTCAACTCTGTCTTTGAATGTCCCAGGAATTAGTTTCTAAAACAATCCTTAACATTAAAAATATTTTAGAAAACAGAAGTTGAAAAGGCTGGCAGTGTGTTAGCAATCCAAATGATAACAACAAATTGATTTTAGTAGCAGAAATTGAAATACGACACCTGGAGCAGCATTTAAATTTGGATGTGTATAAACATCTATATCTTGGTGTCTGAACAAAATCAACTTGAAGCTCATTTAAAAATATTCTATCTGAAAAACCCTGCACACAATCTGGTTAATGTACGTTTTTTGAACTGAGCATATAATAAGAGGACAATTTGTCATTTTCATATACAAATAAAAACACTTCATCTTTTATTACCAAGGCCTGAAGAAACCACATTTTAAAAAAGAATAAATGTGTAGTTTATGCTTATTAAATAACTTAGAGTGTTAAGAGCTTGGACATATAATTCTAATATGCCATCTCCATACAGTCTTAAGTTCAAGTCATAAACCTTTCCCAATGTTAAAGGAAGCGAAATCATTTTTAAAAGTATTTGCTTAAAAGATAGACAACTATTCTTCATTTAAGTACAAGGCAAGAATTTTAGAATGGTCCAATTAGAAATCCTTTGTCTAATAAATACAGTGACTAGGGCTGGTAGTTACACTAGTAATCTAAAAATAAAACAAGCTATTTTTGGTTTCATGGAATAAATCATTACAAGTACAATTTGCATCCACAACCAAAGAGTTTAAAAATAAAGTACTCTTTTCCCCAAGAAAAGGATGTATGCTTCTGAAACAATGTATCTATAAATAAGATTAAGCAATACACATTATCAACAAGAAATAAGCAATAACCCTGCCACTATAAAAATGCAAGCCAAAAGCCAATTCACACTAGAATCTTAAATGCCCACATACTGGGGACACTGCAGTTTATTGATCTACAGTCAGCTCTCTTGGCCAGGTGTTGAAGCAGAAATATAAAATAATGTTACCGCATTCCTCACTATCCAAGAGAACAGGAAATTAGTTTGAAAAGTCCTTTGTGACAAAATAATGAATTCCTCCCGTCCCCCTTCAACAAGAGACCTTTTCTAAGGTGGGGAGAACCTATGGCATATAGAAATAAAGAATGCAAACATATACCTCCGGCCTCTTTGATGCTGTACGGCTTGACAAGCTGTTTGCATGAAAATAATTCCCTTCAACTCAGGAAACTCAAGGATCTCAAGATAATCTTGAACAACTTTCCAGTCTGGGATCACGTAATGAGTCACATCACTAGACAAGAGTTTCCCATCTGAAACATAATTCAAAATGTAAGAGATCAGACAATGTTCCCAAACCTGGTTTACGACTAAATGTCATAGTGCTCTGGTATGCAAAATAACTTCGTCTTAACTCCAAGGTGGGAGTTTTTAAAAGGCAAATTTACTTTGGTAGAGGCCCAAAGTTCACGTATATTGAGCACCCTCATTTTTTTTGAAGCTGTGATAAATACAAGCTCAACGTGGTTTATGGCGTTGCATAACCTGAATATTTCAGTGTTAACTCATCATTGACAAACACGTTCAAATGAAGCACCCCCAAATTTATACCGCTTGTGTATGATGCCCAGCAATTTCAAGTAGGCTCTGTGTCGAGCTTCTCCAAGTGCTCAGCAGCCAAGGGCCACAAGGACTGAATTGAGAAAATACTCAGTGCAAGCAAGAGGGCAGAGATGGGGTTTCCACCAGGCCCGCATCCGATAACTGGTTAACCAAGCTCTATCTGAAATGTTCACCTTAACCACAAAGTTTGGGGGATTCCAAACATGCGCTGACAAGGACCCCCAATGCTCATCCTCCCATGGGGGAAAGAGAACCAATAACGTGCATCGTTCTATCGGCCACTCTTGCAGCCTAGAAACCAAGGACGGGTGCTCAGGAGTCCCCAGTCCAACTTCCCTTTGACCTTCTTCTCCAGTGCCGGCCCTGACAGTTCACAAATCTGCGGGGGGAAAAGTCTGGGGCACCAGTGCCGGCAGGTCGGGAAACCGGAGGCTGCAAAGCATGCGACGTCAGCTCTGCCGCGGCGGCAGCCGGCCGGAAGCTCCCGGGGGCTCCCAGCTCGCGACCTCCCCATTTCACCGCGACGGCGGGAGGAGGCCTCGGCTTCCGCCCCCTCGGGCCCCTCTGAGGAGCCGAGCCACGCGGCCTCCGGGCTGGGGCGCGGGTCTCTCCGGCCCTTCCATTGGACAGGGCGGAGCAGTCGGGGAGTCCCGCGCAGGGCGCCCCGGAAGTCGCGGACCCGGGCCGCTGGGTCCCAACCGGCAGAGGGCCGGTGGTGACGCCGGTCGGGGGCGGGCGCGGGCCGCAGGGCCTTAGGCCCCAGTGCCCCTGCCGCTGGCGCTCCGCCTCCGGGCCGCGCTCACCCCCTCTCGGCGGCCGCCCGCTCCCGCCCGCCCAGCTCGCGCCCCGGGCCTGACCGTGGCTGCAGGCGGCGCGCTGCGGGCAGAGCGGGCTGTGGCAGGGCACGCAGGGCCGCAGGTAGTGCTCGCGCACGATCCGCAGCGTGCGGCCCTGGAAAGTCCTCAGCAGCAGCACCTTCTCCCGCTTCTGCAGCATGGCGGCGTGGCTCTGGGAGGCCCCGGAGCGGCGGGCGCGGCGGAGGCGAGGCCGTGGCTTCGGGCCCGCCCCTCGGCCCTGGGCGCCGCCGCGGCTCCGGAACCGCCGTAACGACCGCGCGCCGGGGAGGCCCGGAGCCACACGCTCCCGGCTGGGCCCGGCCCTTCCGGCCTCAGTTTCTTCCCTTCCCGTAGCAGCCTGGGCCAGGGAGGAGGGGTGGAAACGACCCACCCTAGAGACGCAGGGAAGACTAGAAAGCCGGACGGCCGGTGAAGAAGGGCGGGGAGCAGCTGTCCAGGATTAGGAGACTTTGTCCCCCCCAGGTCTGTGTGGGAATGAAGCCGCCGTGTTAATATTAACACCGGGTAATGAATGTTTTCTCTTCGTTGCTCTCGCTATCTCTAAACGAGGTAAAAGACTCAGCAAATAAGGTGGCAACCCTTCCAGCCGAACATTCTAAAAAGTCGTATTCATTTTTTTAAAAAGTTCTCTTTTTTTTGTTACTATGGGGGCTGGTCTTGCTTTGTTGGCCAGGCTTGTCTGAAGCGATCCACCCGCCTCGGCCTCACCAATTGTTGGGATTACAGGTGTGAACCGCTGCGTCCGGCCTTTCATGTACTTTTAAAATTTGTTTATTTATTTTGCTATCCCTATTGAAGTTATGGTGTACCTATATATTCAAACAATGGAGATAAAATGAAAACCAATCTCCTCCCTTGAAGCAAGCACTGTTCCACTCCAACTTTTATAGCATTTGCAGCCTCTGGCAAAAGATTTCTCCTTTAAACTACCGCTGACACCATCGCAAACGTACATGCTTGTATTAATAGCTCTTTCTTTTCTTTTTTTTTTTTTTTTTTTTTTGGTGATAGGGTCTTGCCCTGTCACTCAGACAGGAGTGTAGTGTGATCACAGCATCACAGCATCACAGCTCACTGCAGCCACTGAACTCCCGGGCACAAGCGATTCTCTCACCTCCCACCTTAGCCTCTCCAGTAGCTGTGACTACAGGCTTGGGCCACCACCACGCCTAGCTTTTTTTTTTTCTTTTAGAGATGGGGGTGTTTCACTAGGTTACCTAGGCGGATCTCGAACTCCTGAGCTCAAGTGATCCTCCCACCTCAGCCTCCCACAGTGCTGGTATTACTGCAGTGAGCCACCATGCCCAAACTGTAGCTCCTGATAAAGAGATACAGTCTTTTCTGAAACCACACACCCTTGATTGGATAGAATCCACTGTTCTTTCAAGCACTTAACTAAGACTTTTCAGCTGCACTAGTAGCTTTATATACATGTCCTATGTAATTTCCACAATAAGTCAAAGGAGTGAGGCATTATCATTCCTATCTCATAAACTATAAAACAGGGTTAGGGAAGTTGAGTGGCCAAGGTTACCCAGTTATTTAGTGGTGGGATCAATATTCAAGCCAGAATCTGACTGAATTCAAAGCAGGCTTGGAAGTAATTACCGTGCTATTCACAGATGAGTAAAATAAAGGTCTTGCATTTAGGGACTTTATAGTCTGCTTGGTGAGCTCTAGTTAAGGCAGCTTCACCAGCTAGGTGGAAACATCAGACTTCCTGTGATGCTGAAGCAGGCAGAACTGAGGATACCCTGTTGGATGGCTCTTGTCACTCTAGGGGAACGCATTAAAGAGAGCCACGATCTCCCACTCGTTCGTTGTACTTCCATGTCAAGTTACCCTGCAGTGTGAGCTGATATGAATGAGATCTGAGGTGGAATTGCACGAATTGGGAAAACAGCACAGAGCTGGCCCGTAAGGCAACCAGCAGTGCAGGAGGCTGGCCCTAATTCAGGGGATCAGTTCTAGAGACCAGAGGACAGGCATGTTGTCAGATTTGTCTGCTATGTAAATATGTTCCAGGCAGCTGCCCACAGTTCCCTCCAAAGCTCCTCCTTGTTCATTTTTCTTTTATTTCTGATGATACCAGGTTATGGAGGGGGGTGTTGATTAGATACTAATCTGCTCATAACATTGCTCTTTAGTACTTGGTAGCTTGAAACTTTCTTCAAATTGGGACAAATGATCTTCCAACGAAGAGTATGTCTGAGGTTCTATTGAAAGTTGGTTTTATTATTATTTTAAATAATTCAAGGTCTGTTAAGCACTTCCTTTGCTTGCATTTTGGCAATCATGTATAAACGATGTTTTAAAAAAAGCATGATTCCTTAGTTCTTGGAACTAATGAGCTAAAATGGACAAGAGTGCCTTTTTGTTGATTGGTTGGTTTCCCTCACAGGCCATCTGATGCCTCTTGGCTGAAAAAAAGGTGTCTATACCTGTAAGAATAAGCCAGTTTATGCTGCAGTAATATACAACTTTAAAAATGTCAGTGACTTGGCTGGGCACAGTGTCTCACGCCCGTAATCTCAGCACTTGGGAGGCGGAGGTGGAAAGATCACCTGAGATCGGGAGTTCGAGGCCAGCCTGACTAACACAGTGAAACCCTGTCTCTACTAAAAGTAGAAAAATTAGCTGGGCATAGTGGCACATGACTGTAATCCCAGCTACTCAGGAGGCTGAGGCAAGAGAATCACTTGAACTCGGGAGGCAGAGGTTGCAGTGAGCAGAGATTATGACATTGCACTCTAGCCTGAGTAACAAGAGCAAAACTCCGTTAAAAAAAAAAAAAGAAGAAAAGAAAAAAAGGCCAGGTGTGGTGGCTCATGCCTGTAATCTCGGCACTTTGGGAGGCCGAGGCTGGTGGATCACGAGGTCAGGAGTTTGAGATCAACCTGGTCAAGATGGTGAAACCCCATCTCTTAAAAAAAAAAAAAGAGCCGGGCGCGGTGGCTCAAGCCTGTAATCCCAGCACTTTGGGAGGCCGAGGCGGGTGGATCACGAGGTCGAGAGATCGAGACCATCCCAGTCAACATGGTGAAACCCCGTCTCTACTAAAAATACAAAAAATTAGCTGGGCATGGTGGCTCGTGCCTGTAATCCCAGCTACTCAGGAGGCTGAGGCAGGAGAATTGCCTGAACCCAGGAGGCGGAGGTTGTGGTGAGCCGAGATCGCGCCATTGCACTCCAGCCTGGGTAACAAGAGTGAAACTCCGTCTCAAAAAAAAAAGGAAAAAGAAAAAGAAAAAAAAAAAAATCTCAGTGACAAGATGTTGCCTAGGCACCAAGAGGCTCTGCTCTGTGCCCTTTTCCAGGACTCAGGCTGTTGGAGCAGGCCCTCTCTGGAACACAGACTGTGGTCATTGGCAAAGGAAAAAGGTTCCCCAGGGAGCCTCATCCCAGCAATTAAAAGCTCAGTCTGAAGTTAGGCATTTCACTTCCCACTTCCGCCTGTTGACCACAGAATAGGAGTGGGTGGGGCAGGAAGTGGTGCCGCCTCATGGCCTGAAGGCAGAGCAGTGAAGCCCTTTGGTGAGCAGCATCAGTGCCTGCCTGAGTGCCCCAGCGTAAATCCCTTATCCCTAAATGGTCAGTCTGCTCTGCCGGCACCTTAAGCTTTGTTGCTTGTGACTACTCCAGCTCAGCCTATGGTCTCATCTCTGCTTGGGCGTTCTACTGCTCACCTCTTTTCACATTTGACGGTCTTTCCCAACCTCTGTGGACTCATAGGCTAAGGATAGATACATCACCACATTATCTCTCATCTTTATTACAGTTCTTCAGTGTAAATATGTGATTTATTGTGGCAGAGACTGGTTCTGGCTGTCTGTTTGCCAAATCCATGCCCCCTTTTTCTCTGGGCACACAGATAAAACACATTTCCTAGCTTGCCTTGCAGATAAGTTCTAGCTGGCAGAATATAATGGCACCATTTCCAGGCCTGGCCCGTAAAAATCTCCCATGCATGCTCCTTTTCCTGTTCCACCAACTGGAGACCAATGCCCAAGGGATTTTGGAAGCCAGCATTAGAGATGGCAGACCCCTCACCAAGTTGGGTCCCTGAAGGACTGTTCACAGCTGAGCCCTGCTGCTGCCTTTGGCTCAGGAGCATCCACAGTGGACATTTTTTTGATAAAGTGTTCACTCTGTGGTCCAAGCTGGAGTGCAGTGGTGCAATCTCGTCTCACTGCAACCTCTGCCTCCTGGGTTCAGGCAATTATCTTGCCTCAGACTCCCTAGTTGCTGGGACTACAGGCATGTGCCACCATACCCAGCTTATTTTTCTGTTTTTGGTAGAGAGAGATTTTCATCATGTTCGCTAGGGTGGTCTGGAACTCCTGACCTCAGGTGATCCACCCGCCTCGGCCTCCCAAAGTGCTGGGATTACAGGCGTGAGCCACTGTGCCCAGCCCACAGTGGAGTCTGGTAAGGGAGAAATAAACTTTTGTTACATCAGCTATCATCACCCTAACTAATTACTCTCTTTATAGAGGAGATGAAGGAACTTGTCTGAGAATTGTAGAGCTATTTGTTCAAAAATTCCTCGCTAGATATTATATGTCCTAATGAAGCTGCTTAAGATTTCTTTTTTTTTTCTTTTTTGAGACAGAGTCTCACTCTGTCACCCAGGCTGGAGTGCAGTGGCGTGATCCCCGCTCACTTCAACCCTCGCCTCCCAGGTTCAAGCGATCCTCCTGCCTCAGCCTCTCAAGTAGCTGGGATTACAAGCTCCTGCCATCACACTCAGCTAGAAGCTGCTCAAGATTTCTAGAGCAGGTCTAAATCGCACAGTTCTCTAGGAGGTGGGAGAGCGTCAGTGGCCAGCCGTGTTCTGGTTTGGTCTGGGCTACAGTGCAACCCTGGGAAGGACGCCTAGGGGTTAGTTCTCCTTTCAGTTTTCC